AAACCCCCACACCAGGCCTAGTGTCTCTCTTTCTCTGCCTGCTGTCTATGGATCAGGATGTAGCTCTGAGCTACTGCTCCAGCACCATACATGTCTATCCATGTACCACCACATTCCCCATCGGGATGATAATGGACTAACCCTTTTAAGCTGTAATCAAGCCCCCAATTAAATGCTTTCTTTAGAAGAGTTGCCTTGGTCATAGTGTCTCTTCACAGCAGTAGAACTGTGACTAAGACAGGACTGAAGAATTGGGGATAGATGGAGTACTTCCAAATTATGAAGGTGGAATATGACAAGCCTATAACCAGCATTATACTAAGTGAGCAGAAACTCTGGGCCTTTCCTCTGGTTTCTGAAAAGAAACAAGGATCCCAAGCTCTCCATTTTTATTCAATATAGTTCTCAAAATTTTAGAGCAATGAAGTATGAGAAAGAAAAAAGGGATAAAAATAGGAAGGGAAGAAATCAAACTATCTCTATATGCAGACAGCATAATTACATACTTAACAGACACTATAGACTCCACCAGAAGATTCTTTGATAAAAATAAATACTTTAAGTTCCACGATGAAACTCAACATGCAAAAATCAGGAGCTTTCTTATATGCTGATAATGAGTTTTCAGACTGGTGTCTTTGCCAGTGAGGTGTGTCTCTTGGAAACAACACAAAGTCAGATTTTAAAAAATCCACTCAGCAGTCTGTTTTTTCATTTTTTTGTTTTACTGAGTTGGGGCCATTCACATTTAAGGTTGTTATTGAGAGATGTTTACTAATTCCTGTAATTGTTGACAATTGTTTTTCTTGCTGAATTATTTGTCTTTATTTTCTCCCCTATTGGTATAGCAGAGGTTTGCTGGTTTACTGTGTTGGATATATGGGTTTCTTCCTAGTTCTTCTTTATTTATCTATTCCTTTCACAAAACATTCTTTCCTATATTCTCATGACTGAGATAGTCTCTCCCCTTCCTCTCTCTATGATACTCTTTTAAGTATCTCCTGCATTGTTGGCTTGGTGGAATGAACTGCTCACGTTTGTGTTTGTCTTGAAATGCCCTTACTTCTCCATCAATTTTTAAAGATACCTTTGCTAGACAAAGGCCTTGTTGGAGGAAGTATATCACTGTGGGGGTGGGTTTTCAGGTTTCCTATGCTCAGGATACCACCCAGTGTCTCAGTCAACTTCCTGTTACATGCAAGACTGTAGGACTCTCAGCTATTTCTCTGACACCACATCCACCTACATGCTGTCATGTTCCCCACCATGGTGATAATGGACTGAACCTCTTAAATTGTAAGCAAGCCTCGAATTAAATGTTTTCCTTCAAGAGAGTTGCTATGATCATTGTGTCTTGTCACAGCAATAAAAACCCTAACTAAGACAACGTCTTTGCTTTTTATTTTAGACTTCCTGTATATAATATGTCATATGTCATAGTGAAGATCTTCTCTGATCATGTCTATTCGTGGTTCTAAATGTCTGTTGCACTTGTGTGTCTATTTCTTTCTCTAAATCTAGGGAGTTCTGCTATAATTCATATTATCTATGCCTTTGGTATTTAGTTTCAGCTCTTTATTCTCCTGGAGACTCTTAGGTTTGGTCTCTTAAATATATCTCAGAGTTCTTGGAAGTCGTGATCATGTTCATTTTTATCCTTAGCAATGTTTAAATGCAGTGGTTCATCAACCTTGTCCTGCACTCCTGATGGGTTGTTGTTTTTTAATATGTGGTCTATTGCTGATGCTTTCTACTGTGGGTTTTTTTTTTTGATTCACTAGGTTCTTAGTTTCCAACTTTTCTAACTTCTTTTAAGTCCCAATTTCCTTGCTGAGTTTTTTTCTTCCATGCTGCTGACTTTCTCATGCATGTCTTCTGGCTTTCCCCTCTCTGTTGCTATCTTTTCTCTCGGTCCTGAACTAAATTAATTTGATTATTTATAGCCTATTTCAGGTCACTGAGCAGTGCTTATTAATTTATCTGTTGACAGTTTTATCCGGGTCAGTTTATCTCTACATCTTATCTTTCTCCTCTCCTCACCAACGTCCTCCCCACACCAAGCTCCTTATCTCACTTTCATGGATTTTTTGTTTTTGTTTTGTGAGCCACTGGGCTTATCCAGGGCCACTCATGTGGGCACAGATGTGAACCCATCCACTGGGAAATGAGTAACTCTCCAGTGGCTGTATCACTGAAGAATTGTCTGTCCCTGGCAGGCACTGGCTGCTATTGGTTCTGCTGGGTGAGATAGGGACAAACGAGCCCTTTCCCCTCTATGAATGCTTGAGTCTAGTCTTGTGCCATAGGAAGTCACGGTTCTGAGTGCCAGAAAATACCATGTTCTGGTTTTTTTTTTTTAGCCTGTTAAGTTTTCAGGTTTATTTTCTACCAAGTTTTATAACTCTTCCTCTCTTTTGATGAAACTGTGTGTCACACTAGACAACAAACCCACATGCACATTCTTTTTGTCAAAGGGAAATAAAAACCTGCATCTCGGTGAAATTTTACAGTTCAGTGAGTTACAAAGCAGCATGGTGACATCCCAGCCTTGTCGGTGTGGGAACAGGAGCGTTGACTCAGTGAAAGCCAGGCTAAAGTCAGGAAAGAGCTGGGTGCTCAAGGCCAGCTGGGATCCTAGCTTCCTCTATGACACGAGACAGACATTTGGACACAATCAGATGACCAGTTGCAGAACTAGAAGTCAAGAGCTCCAGAAGTCACAGCAAGGAGAAGAGACATGAACAAATCCTGTAAGCCTCAGTCTCACCCAAGACAGCAGTCTCATTGGTTCCTGAAGAGTCCATAATGGCAGGAAGGCATGGTAGCAGGCAGAGGTAGACATGGCAGCTGGAACAGGAAACAACTGGTCTCATTTTGTCTGCACACAGGAAGCAGAGAGTTCTCTACATGCCCTTAAGATGGCCCTCCTACCCACTGTCCAGATCTAACGTTCTTTCTGCCTTTCTTTGGCAGTGTTTTCTTGGAGGAGGGATGGGAGTGTCCTGTTTAAAGCTCAGCAGCTACTTGTTCTCAGCACCTTGACCATGAACCCTTACATTTACCACCGCTCTGTAAAGAGAAGCATCTTTGACCAAGGCTGAGGTCAGCACTAGTGTCTAGATAGAAACAAATATTTAGGAGACCGTCTGGGATTGCCATTATCCACCTATACGTGGTGCCTCTATTCAGAATCTGTTTTTAAAGTTGTTTTTAAATTAGCTTATGAGGTAGTGGGTTTCCATATGACTTCTTACTTCCTTAATTTTGGTTAACTCAGTTGTCAACTTGCCACAATCTAGAATCACCTGGGAAGAGAGGCTCCAAGCTGGAATGTCTAGATCAGGTTTTCCTATGGGCATGTCAGTGCATGGTTGTCCTGATTCCATTCTTTGAGGTGGGGAACCCATGTGAGTTTGAGTTCTAGACTCTGAGAGGAGAAGGTGGGCTGAGTGCTGGCAGGCATGCATTCACTCTCTCTGCTGCTGCTGACTGGATGTTACTAGCTCAGCTTCCCCTAAAAATGATGGACAGGAACCTGGTACTGTGAGCTAAAATAAGCCCCTTCATCCCCTGTTGCTTTTGTCATGGTATTTTATCACATCAACCTAACGGAAAGTGGGACACCATATTCTCCCAGGCCACACCCCTCCCTGTTTAAATCTGGCCATCCTTCGTGTTCCCTCTATTCTCACATCACACATGCTCTGCCACCTGCATCCTCCTGGCTATTTTTTTTAAGTTGGAAGAATTTTTGTATTGCTGCTTCAGTCTTGCTGCTGGCTGTGGATCTGTTTAAATCACTTATTTCATCTTGGTTTAATTCTGGTTGGTCATATGCATCTAGAAATTCCTCCATTTATGTTAGATTTTCCAACTGTCTAGAGTATGTGTTTTTAAGGTTGCTCTTAGGGTTTTCTGGATCCCACTGGTATCTGCTGCTGTGCTCCCTTTCAGCTCTGATTTGATTAATGTGGGGTATTCTCTTTCGTATCGTTTCTGAGCTTGTTCCTTCTGTTTCGTTTAATTTCCGCCCTGATCATAATTATTTCTCCCATTTACTACTTTGGAGTTTGGTCTGTTCTTATTTTTCTTCCTTTTCTTTTCTTTTTCTTTGTTGTTGTTGTTGTTGTTGTTGTTATTTGAGGCAAGGTTTCTCTGTGTAGCCCTGGCTGTCCTGGAACTCACTCTGTAGCCCAGGCTGGCCTCAAACTCAGAGATCCGCCTGGCTCTGCCTCCCGAGTGCTGGGATTAAAGGTGTGCGCCGCCACCTCCTGACTGTTTTTATTTCTCTAAGTGCTTAAAGCACATCACTGTGTTGTTTGAGTTCTCGCTGTTTTTTGTGTCAGTGGTTGTTTTTAAGACTGCCTTCCTTCTGTCCCATAGCTTTCTGTATGTGTGTTGTCCTTTTAATCCCATTCTAGAATTTTTTTTACTTCTTCCTTGATTTCTTCAGTGATATATTCATCATTCAATAGTGTGTTGTTTCAAATCCATGAGTTTGTGTACTCTCCACAGTTTCTGTTGTTATTACTATCTAGCTCTACTTCGTTGCTGTGGAGGCTGTGAGCATGCCGTGGGGCTGAGGGCTTGCCGTGGGGGTTGTGGGCTTGCCGTGGGGTCAGGACTGCTGACTTTCCTCAGGCTGGCCCTTCAGCTGTGATTTTTGCCCCATTTCCAATCCCCAAGCTCCCACCCCCATCTCCTCACCCCACACGACCACACACCCCATTGATGTTGGTTAAAGTTAATTAAGATGTTTCAAGTGCTGAGCTGGCCACATGGGCTGGGCAAGCCTAGACCTCAAAGGCAGCCCCCCCAAAAGCCAATTTGCTGAACTGTGAGCTGTTTCTGCCCTGAGTGTCCAAAAAGGGGGCTGGGGTGGTTGGGAGTGAGGCGTGAGGGAGGCACATTGAGGTAACAAACAACCAAGGGTGTGGTTGTGGGGCGGGTGGCCAGCACCACTCTGTCACCTAGCCAGGACACTTTTCTTTTGCTTTCAGAAACGTGTTCTATTCCTGACCAATGACTATTTCTTCACGGACATCAGTGACACACCCTTCAGGTGAGGGGATAATGCCACACAAGCCAGGGATTCAAGACAGAGTAGAAATACCACCAACTCTTGATAAAACTGTCAGATTTGAAAGATCCTAGACAGCCATTGTTCAGGAAATGAGATCTAGATGGGCTTTGCCAGTATGGCTAAATGTCCAATTCTTCAGCCGAACTCTTAGTTTGAATCCCAGCTCCACCACTTTAGAGGCTTTGCGACCTGAGTCAAGGCACTTAACGTCCCTGTGCCTCAAATGTGTCATCTGTGAAATGTGAACGATGATTATAGCAGCTACTTCTTGACTATGTTGATGATGTCATGATACAATCTACACAGATGTTGGCGGCGCAGGGTGGTAGGATGAGAGGATGAGAGCAGAATAGCGCCAAGGTCCCCGCCATCATTTCCCAACACAGCGCAGCTTCCCTGTTCTGACCGCCCACTAGAACACCTGAGAGCAGCTCAGGATTGCCACCTCCTCAGCCCATGCAAGCCCATTGTGTCAGGACTGCGAGCAGAGCCCAGGCGCCACACCTTTTAATGCTCCAGACTCAAATCTAATGTGCTACCAAGAGATGGGGTTCAGTAGGACAGGAACCTCCTAGGGGAGATCCTGAGACCCCTGAACATTTCAGGTGGTCCCTGGAAGCCCTCTGAACATTTCAGGTGGTCCCTGGAAGCCCTCTGAACATTTCAGGTGGTCCCTGGAAGTCCCCTGAACATTTCAGGTGGTCCCTGGAAGCTCAAGAACTTACTTACTCCTTAAGTAACCTGGGGGCTTCAGGAATCATGGTCTGTGGTGTTTCCAGGGCCTTTCTTGGGAAGAGTGACTGAGAGACTAGCAGTAACTTCCTGGTTCCCAGGGGAATGACCTGTGAGGCCAGGATAAAGGAGGAAAGCTAGAAAGGTGTGCCATTGCCCTGTGTCCAAACACTCCTTGCTTGGTGAGCAACTAGCTAGAGCGGATGTGACCAGTGTGCACACGGCTCCCTTCTCTTCTCTCTAGCTTGGGAGTGGTGCTGACTAGGGGCCATGGAGAATACATCCTCCTGGGAAATACATCCGTGGAGGAAGGTAGGTCAAGCCATGTGCTCACTGTGATGTGGTGTGTAGTAGGGGATTCACTCTCCCGGTTGCTGAGCAGGGTCAACCCAGGGTGGAATCAGGGTGAGCATTTCCCATCAGGTGGGGTGGCAGAGAGGGGCCTCACCCCTATCCCAGCTGCCCATGACCCCAGCTGCCTGGGCACCTTGAGAGAATCAACCTTCATGAGGGTCAAGATGTCTCTGAGAGCCCTGAAAGATGGGACATTTCTATGTCTGCCCATTCTTTCTTTCTCATTCCTGGGGTGCACCCCATCACCCCATCATCCTGCCATCAGTCAAGTCATCGTCCCTTCCATCCCTAGACAATCATAGTGGCCTCCAACCGTTCATCCTGCCTCCGTCTTTGACTTCATCCACAGAATCTAGAAAAGCCTCCCCTAGTGTTGTCCTGCCGACTCCCCCAAGTTTACTCTCTTAAGCTTCCTACCCTTCAAAAGATGTGCTGAAGGTCTGACTCTTGGAAGCTGTGGCTGTGACCTTCTCGGGTAGGGTGTTGGCAGACATAATCAAGCCAAGATGAAATCATTAGGATGGGCCAGACTCCTGAGATTGGTGTCCTTAGAAGAAACAGACAGCTGAGGACTAGAGCAGTGACTTGGCAGTTAAGGGCACTGGCTGCTCTCGCAGAGGACCTGGGTTCTGTTCCCAACATCCACGTGGCAGCTCACAGTTATCTGGAACTCCAGTTCCAGGGGATCTGATGCCCTCTTCTGGCCTTGCACATATGGTACATAGACATACATGCAGGCAAAACATCCAGACACATAAAATAATAGTAATTCAAAAATTAAAACTAGACAGCTGAGGGAAGGGGCCTCTGTGGTGGCAGGCCAAGAGGAAGTACTCAGCATAGTGAGGACCGGGGCAGGGAGCTGGCTAACGGGGAGCTGGGAGAGGCTGCCCTGAAAATCTCTCCTCTTGGACCCTCCCTCCAGCTCACCCTGGCCCTATCAGATGCCAATCTAGACGACACTGCCCCCTCCAGCTTCCCAGGGTAGCCTTACCCTGCCAAGGTGGTGTGCTGACGCCTGCAATGTCCTTCCACAGCAAGAGGCCTGCTCCTGGAGCTCCCTTGCTCTGTCCTCAGTCGCCAAGCCATGAAGTTCCCTGGGCCCTCAGTGTGCCTCTTCTTCCTCCCCTCCACTGCCCAGTTACTCCCTGTCACGTCACTGCACGTCACAGAGGGAGCAGTCCGTCACCCACTCGTGAAGGCACGCAGTCTAACCTCCTGTTTGCCCAGTCTCTTCCTACAGTTTCTCAAAGTTTCATTGAGCACCTACTTAAATGTTTGCGCACTGAGCTTCCAGGAGCCCATTCGCTCATTCCTTCACCAAGTGTACTGAGTGCACAGTCAGGCTAAGAGCCCAGCGAGGCTCCAGGGCTCACTGGGCAGGCACAGCCCACCCCAGGCTCATCTCTGGCTGGCCACGGTAGCAGCCATGTCTGATAAAACCAGGGAAGACAAAACCACGGCTTTCAAAGTGTTAAGAGGGTGGGGCTTGCAAGACACTGGTATCTAAAGAGGTTTAATGCTGTGGCCACTAAAATCTGTATGTAGCAAGATGCTAAAGGCGTGCTCACCAAAGCCCTTCCTGCAAACGGGTTTGCGGCCCTGGGGTGTGTGCCCACAGCCACGGGGTATCAGCCTGAGTATGGACTCTGCTTTCAGGCCTGCATGACTTGCTTCACCCGGATCTGACCCTGGCCAGCGACTGGTAGGCAAGGAGGTCAGGGTGGGAGGGAGATAAGGAGGGTTTGAGGTAACATGTGCTCCCTGGGCTTCCAGGATCTACTGCGTCACGGATATCGACCCTGACCACCGGAAACTCAGCCAGCTGGAAGCTGTGGTCCGCTTCCTGACAGGGATGGATCCAGGCCTGGAGTGTGAGTATCCGAACCCATGCCTCTGTACTTGTCCTCTGGGTCCGAGCAGTCCAGGGCTTTCCAGGGGTAGAGAGTACCATCCACCTGTCCTGGGGTCACAAAGGTGGCTTGAGAAAAATGAGAAACCCCGAAGAAACAGTCAAAGCTGGCTGGGGCGGTGGGCCATGCAGGACATGGGCATTCTAAGAACTAGAGGCCTGTACCAGGGATCCTCATGTCAGAGGCCAGGATCCCCGTTAGCCCCTCTCAGTCCTCCTGCTTGTCCAGTCTGTCCCCACCACCTTAAAGTGGTCAAGGAGCAGACGCTGTCTTGAAGTCCTCAGTTCTGCCAAGCGTAGCATTTGGTCAGGCAGTCTCTTCAATCCTTTGGTCTGGGAGGATTTTCCAAGTCTAGGCACTCAGGCCTCTGGCCAGTTCACTTGACCATGGCCCTCAGCAAGCCCCTCCCTCCTCTTCAGTGGTCCTGCTCCATATATGTTCTCCCCATGAAAAGACCATCTCCTGAACTGACCTACCAGGGCATCCATCTATCTCCCCATTAGTCAACAAGACTGACATGAGCATGTGCTTGCACCAGATCTGGGGCAAGGACTGAGATACAGACAACCCAGCCAAGGCCCGGCACTTATGAAGCTGGAAATTTGGGGGAGAAGCCAGGCAGTGATCAAGGCTGCACACATATGTAGTGTTACAGTCATGACAGGTGCCATGGATGGAGTGTTGGGGAGCAGGGTGGAGGCAGAGAAGATCCCAGGTATCTGGGATCTTCTTTGAAGGAAATGAAAATATTTTGGAAATAGATGGGGTGGGTTACACAGTGGTGTACATTGAGTTGAATACTATAAGTTGGTTTTGTGCATCATAAATTTCACTTCAGTGAAAAATTAAAACAATTCTAAGAGAGAGGGCAGAGAGTGGCATCTGTGTAGAGTGGAGGAAAAGCAGCCAGGCCAGGGAAGCAGCAGGCACTGGGGCGATGAGACAGGGCAGCTTTGAGTCAGCTCAGGCCTGCAGCACCCACAGCCACCAGCATGTCCTGCATCAGGGAGCAGAGAGGGTGGGAGCTGACACAGGCCGGGCAGGCCCTGGCTGGATCAAGAGAACAGCTAGACTCCACAGTGTTAAACTGGAAGGGCCTACAATGTCAACTCACATCTATTCTGTGGCTGAGAATCTGAAGACAGAACAAGAGGGTTGATATCTTTATGGCCACCCAGATGGTTTTAATACCCAGAGACATCGGCAAGAGTCTCATCCTTCTCCTGACTTCGACAGGGTAGGGGTCTGTGCTGCGGGCATTGTTGTTGTCATTGGACAGACTAGTCTCAAACTTGCTATGTGGCCAAAGATGACCTCCAGCTTCTGAGCCTCTACTTCCAAGAGCTGGGATTCCAGGCTTGCACTGCCACCACTGAGCTACACCCAAGCTTCTAGGAGCTGTGCTGTTCCTAATGGGGTGGGGCCTGGGGTAATAGATGACAAGTGTGGCTGGTTCTGTGACTTTACCCCCAGGTGATGAGGAGCTGGTACGGGAGGTGCTGTTTGATGCAGTGGTGACGGCCCCCATGGAAGCCTACTGGACAGCACTGGCACTCAACATGTCTGAGTAGGTACAGGAGGGGTGATGGCTTTGGAGAGCAGGTAGCACATTCGGGCGTGTTCTATCCCTGATTTAGTCAGATCCCTCGGAAAGACACCACCCCTTCCAAAGGAACCACGATGAAGACAGGGGCAGGGGGACATGGTGGACACGGGGGTGAGAATGGCCTTCACACGACTCCTGCAAAGCAGGCTCCCACCCCACAGCTCCTACCAGCTCCTCACTCAAAAACACAAAGTGCATCTTTCCCAGCCACAAGCCTTAGTCCCCACCGCAGCCCAGTCTGAGCCCTGGGCTGAACGTGTTTTCTAGGTTGGTCTCTCACTCCCCAAGAAATGCCCCAGTAAGCGCAAGACTGACAAATGGAGATGTATTTCCAGCTTCGAAGGAAGGCTACCACAGGCTCGGCCTCAGTGCTTCCCAGACCCCAAGATTTCCCTAATTCTCTGCTGGATTTTTCTTGCTGACATTGTGTTTCATGGCTAGACAGAAAATTGGGCACTATGTACATGGCATGAGATGGGGGTGACGTTAATGAGGTAAGGTCTGAAGCGCTTGCTTCTGAAGAGGAAGGTTCAAAATCATAGATGTCGAGCCTCCCTAACACTCCAGTTCACTGCTGCTCCTCTAACAAAACAATCTCCTATTTTTAAAAACACGTGTGCAATGTGCTCCATTTCCTCAAGAGAGGACCAGAACACAGTGTCCGTGTGCATGTCCTCCACATGTGCATCCGGTTTCCACGGAAGGCTGTTCAGCAAAGGTTCTGAGGGCTGCTCTCTGGTTAGAAAAGTAGGTCACTGAAATGGAGCTTGAACTGCAAATGTTTTTGATGCAACTTTGAACCATATAAATGTAGGTATACAGATAAACCTAGAATGAAGAAAATCTACAGGGCCAGACACTAGCACACAGTGTATTGAAGGGAAAATGTTCTTTACTAGCTTCTACATTACCAAAAATTGGTCTGGTAGGGGCTGGGAAGATGGCTCCATAGAGTGTTTGCCACACAAGTGTGTGGACCTAAGTTTGGACCCCCAGAGCCCACATAAGAAGCCAAGCATAGTATCCCACTTCTGTAACCCCAAACCGGGGAGGTAGAAATAGGCAGATCCTTAGGGTCACTGGCCATCCAACCCAGCCCAATCAGTGAGCGCCAGGGTGAGTGAGTGACCTTTGTCCAGAATAAAGAAGGCAGAGAGCAATTGAAGAAAACACTCGGCCGGGCGGTGGTGGCACACGCCTTTAATCCCAGCACTCGGGAGGCAGAGCCAGACGGATCTCTGTGAGTTCAAGGCCAGCCTGGGCTACCAAGTGAGTTCCAGGAAAGGTGCAAAACTACACAGAGAAACCCTGCCTCGAAAAACCAACAAAACAAAAAAGAAAACACTCAACATCAACTTCTGACCTCCAAATGCATACACACATGCACACGCTCACACAAACACATGTACACACACAGAATACACACATAAAATTGAAAGCCAGCATGTTGTGGGGGTTGGAGGCTCTCCCACTGAAGATGTAGACCAGCAGGCTCCATCCCATTCCTATACCAAACGGTCAGAAATCTCTAAAGCAGCCCGACAAGACTTCTAGCCAGTGAGAACTGGAGAAAGAAAATTGTCTCTGTTTAAAGATGCCATGAGTGGGAGTGTGTGCAGATGACTCCATGGTAGAGCACCTGCCTAGCATGTATGAGGCCCCAGGCTCCATACCCAGCATGGTAAAATCAGTAAATATTATATACCAGGAAACTTCAAAAGAATAGGAAAATCACTATAGCCAATAAGAGGATTTAGTAAGGTGGAAGGTTATAATATCAATGTTAAGAAAGTAATAATACCCGGGGCTGGAGAGCTGGACTAATGGTTAAAAGCACATATTGCTCTTACAGAGAAGTTGAGTTTGGTTCCCAGCCCCCATGCTCAGTGGCTCACAGTTGCCTGTAACTCCTGCTCCTGGGATCTGACGCCATCTTCTGGCTTCCATGGACACCTGCACTCACATGCATATACCCACACAGATACATATTCATGTATGTCATTAAAAATAAATAAAATCTTATTTTAAAAATTAATAATACTTATGCATATAAGTAACCCCCCAAAAAAGAGGTACGATATGAAAAGACTCCTTTAGGATGGTAAGAAATAAAAATATTGTTCTAGAACTATAAGAACACATTGAGCATACAGTGTGAGAACTGCTAAATGAAACATTGGGCCTAGGGCACCAGCCTGTGATTCCAACTACTCAGAGAACTGAGGCAGGAGGATTGAAGGTTTCAGGCCTGCCTGGGATACAGGGTAAGATGCTGTCTCAAAAAGTAACACAGGATACAGCTCAGTGGTAGCAAGCATGAAGCCCTAGGTTTAATCTTGGGATGTTGGGGACTAGGAAACAGTTCTCTAAGACAAAGAAGTAGGCCTGAGCACATGGAAAGACTCATGATGTCTCTGAGTAGAAAGACAGACACCATGAAGCTCCTCCCTAGTGTAGACTCAAAAGGAATGCCTTTGAGACTGTCTTTCTGTATCCAGGTGACTGCTTGTAAAGTTCATTAGAAGAACAATCAAGAACAGCCCAATGTCTCAATCCAGGGGATGGTCCTACCTAGATGTAAAGACATTATCAAACCTCTGCCCATCCTGAATTGTGGTGCTGGTACCCAAAAGAGCAACCAGGCCCAGGGGGCACACATGTGGACTTGTGCATCCCAAGGCCCTGTGTCACGTTAATGAAGGAAGGTGGGCTTAATAGCTGGTGCGGTGGCGGCCAGTGGGACTAGCACCGCTGGATGAGTCCACACACCTGGATGAAGTGATTCATATTCACAGGAAAGAAGTTGCGTCAGTACTAACAGATACTGTGATCCAGCTGTGTTAAAATCTGGGTGTCAGCAAGCCTTCCTAATGCTGACTCAAAGCTCAGAAGCAATGCAAGAATGGCTGATTAACTCAACAACTTGGAAATGCCTGTATGAGCAGGGTGCAAAGAAGGGATGAGCTGGGAAGCTGCAGCCACGAGCAGGTGGAGGTACCATCTCTGCAGCTACAGTGCGGACGACAAAGAGCTTCAGGAGCAGACAAATAGAAGCACAGAACCGTACAGGATCAAAAGCCAAAAGAAAGGATCAGCCCTTAAATGTGTGTTGACCCAGATCTGAATAAAAGAAATGTATATAAAACCACTCAAGATGGTGCCTCTTGCCACCCAGTGCAACTGAATTTGGCAGCATCCGCAGGACACTTGGCAAAAGTATGTATGCTGTAAGCAGAAACTGATAAAGTTGTGACCTGTGCTTGGTAATCACGCTGCTGGAAAGGATGCTGGTGAGACTGGATGTGGGTTAGGTCCCACTACGTTAGCATCATTAGGAGCCAACATTTCCAACAAAAGGAAAAAGAGACACAAGTTCCAAAAATCAAAAGTGTTTACATGTAAAAGGTGAATATGAGGGACTGGAGAGATGGCTCAGTGATTAAGAGCACTTCCTACTCTTGCAGAGGACCTGAGTTCGGTTCCCAGCACCCACACTAGGCAGCTCACAATTGCATATAATTCCAGCTACAGGAGATCAAATGCCCTCTTCTGGCCTCTGTGGGTATACACATAAATAAAAATAAATCTTTTTTTTTTTAAAGATGAATCTGAATTGTACACATTCACCTGAGTTCCAGATCTATTTTCTCTTAAAACGATAAAGAGGCTGCCCCTAGCCTGCCCTGCTGGGGAACACAGACTCTGGGGCACCCAGCTGTCACAGGGATTAGTAATGCAGGTCCTCATTAAAGTGAGTCTGGGGACATCCCTGACTATAGGACATGGGCAGGAAATGAACCAGGTGAACCAGGAGCCTCCTGTCACACTGAAGGGAGAAGCTAGCAAGACTAATGGGACTCAGAGGCCCCTGGAGAGAGCTCATGAGCCAAGGATGGGGTGACAGCAGAGGGCAGCCATGGCTGCAATGGGCTACACTCCAGAGCCTGCATCTGTGAAGAGACTGGAAGACAAAACCCATTCATGGGCCACCTTTGGAGGTGTAAGACAAACACTGATTTAAACAAGCAAAGCATCAATTACTTATCTTGCCTCTTCTGTACCAATTGTTCCCTAGGATATAGTTTTTCTGTAAGGAAGTAGTTCCAGTAAAAGCAAACTAAAGACAAAATTGGAGGGGTGTGCCTGTGAGTATCCCCCAGACAACAGTGTGCATTTGCCTGTCAGGACCAAATTGCCTGTGTATTCGCTTCATAGCATTGTGATAAAACAATACGAGAGGCAACTATCTTAGGAGAATGTTCGTTTGGCTTCCAAGTCCGTCGTGTGTGAGGCTGACCCATAGCTGAAGGGCCTATGCTGAGGGAGATACATCATGGCGTAGTGCAATGCATGTGGGAGGCACCAGGGTCCTAGGGGCCCCCTTAAGGACAGCCTCTCTCACTGTGCCTCACTTCTCAAAGGCGGCCTCCTGGTAGGACCACCCGGGGAACCAAACCTTCCATAACCGGGACTTTAAGGAACATTCACCCAAACCATAGGATGTAAAAGCTCATTGCTGGATGCAATCAGGCCCAGAGGTCTAAAAGGTAATTTACAAGAAATCCAAGGGACAAAAAAAGTGTGCCAAACAATACTTTAGCAATTGGTGTGTGCAGGAAGTGGTCCACAAGGAGAAGAGAAGCTGGGATAGGAGACCGAGGTTTAAAAGGCTAATGACTGCCACGGGCATGGAGTTCCCGTCAGGGGTGACAATAAATGGTCTAAAGTCACGGTGACAATGGCTGTGCCATTTGCAGAGTGCACTAAAAGAAATACACTTTAGACAGGGAAACGATATGGTTCCAAACCAGGAAGAGAGAAAAGGCCTCCTAAGCCACTGTCTGAACAGACCACAGTAAGATTCTGATTCACCAGCTTAAACTCACGGGGCACTGGGCTGTGTGGTGACACCGGACGTCATGGATCTTTTGGAAAGGTTTGACAGTGGCACTGAGGTGTTTGCTTTAGTTCCTTATAAGTTAAAGTATTTACTGATTAAACACCTAGGATTTGCTTGAGAATATTGAGTCGCTGTGGTGCCTTGGGAAGCCTGGGTTGATGTTTGCGAAGCTAGGTCATGGGAGAGGTCAGTAGACTCCAAGAGCAAATTGGATTGGTGCTTTTTAGAGATGGCGACCCCAGGGTCTGACCCAGTACAGCTAATGCAGGGTGTTAGTACCTGTCACATTTAAACCCTGAGTAACCCAGACACCCACCTGCAGAGGCCCCATTCTCTCTAGACCTTCCTCTCCAGGGACTCTCTAGACAGCTGACCAACTGTCACCCAGGCCTGGTACTGTCCCTGGGTACTGCCAGTGTAGACCATCCCTAGCCTCCGGGCCCTGGCAGTGGGTTTTGCCCTGCCTCATGCCCTCATGGAGCCCGCAGACCCAGGTACTGGAAGAGACAGCTTACACGTTGTCATTGCTTTGCCTCACAGAGCATCGGAGCCTGGTGTAGATGTGGCCTTTCTGGGGACCCGGGCTGGTCTCCTAAGACGAAGCTTGTTCGTGGGCTCTGAGAAAATCTCTGATAAGTGAGTCCTGGGCACCCTGGGGTGTGGGGCCTCTGGGAGGGAGGAAACAGACACAAGTCTTGGGTCCCCTTGGGGGATGTAGAGCAAAGACGGTCTCAGTATGCTGTGTCCTGTGACTCCATGAAGGGCAGAAGACTGGGTTTCAAAGATCAGAACAGTAAAAGGAGCAGTGGCCCGCTCGTCTTAGTGTGCCGTGGAGACCTACAGTGGCCCAGGAGAGGCCTATGAGTCTAGAAGTGTAGGTCAGACATTCCACTTATAGTATAGCAAAGGGAAGCAGGGATTGTGTCCTTCCCTGGGCAACAGTTAGGTGTTCTAGTTATCCCTCCTCTTCCGTGGGTTCTTTCCCCACCCTGGGAGGGGCTATCCTTGGAGTCCTCACTGCACACAGATCAGAGTGAGGGTCTTGCCTGCTCCGGAACAGATTTACGTTGCCCGGTCCCCAAGTTGTATACCCCAAGTTGTATATGCAACTAATGGCTCCTGAGGATTGGGATTTGCTCCCCCACCACTGTGGGGCCTGCAAGGCAGAGGCCCCAGGTGAGCAGTTCTCGGGCACTGGGTGTTTTGTGTTTGCCTATGTCCAGAGATGGTTTGGGTTGCCGCCCTGGGAAAAGTGGAGAGATGACCATGGAGGGGAGCCAGGGGTGCTGTTGGGTGTCCTCGTTGCTCAGGACAGCCCCTGAAGCAGTCATCCAGACCCACAGACCCTACTAAGCCAAGTGCAGGTTGTGGGAGAACCCTGCTAGGGACTCCACATACTGCCCAGTCCTCCACCCCACCCCGGGCAGCTGCTCTCTTCTGGATGATTCTGCATAGAGGGCAGGAGCCCAGAAGAGGGCAGGGTAGTCCCACCTGCTGTCCTAAAGTTCAGAAGCCTTAGGGAAGCGAAGCCTCAGACACTGGAGAACAGTGACCGCTGAGCTGATGGGTGACTTTAAATACCCATCTTTCCTCCCACTCACTCACTGCTCCACTCACTCACTGCCCCACTCACTCACTGCTCCACTCACTCACTGCCCCACTCACTCACTGCTCCACTCACTCACTGCTCCACTCACTCACTGCTCCACTCACTCACTGCTCCACTCACTCACTGCTCCACTCACTCACTGCTCCACTCACTCACTGCCCCACTCACTCACTGCTCCACTCACTCACTGCCCCACTCACTCACTGCTCCACTCACTACGTCCCAGTGCGTTCAGCCACGAGCATCTCTGTGCCTCTCTCAGGACTCAGTGAAGAGTCCACACACGCTAAACAGGGTTGGAGGCTTTCTAGGAAAAGCAATTTGCAGGTTTCCCCTCTCCTTTCTTCTTTCCCTTCCCTAATCCCCAGAGAGCTGGGGAGAGGAAAATGGCACTGTCCTAAAGGATGGGAAGACATGGTAATGCAGACGGGCCTTCCTTGAGTGATCAAAGACTCTGGGAAGCTGGGAAGCAGCTGCCTGAAGGGCCACAGGCGCACCGTGCATGCCAGAGAACTCCCTTTCCCTGGACCACGATGCAGTGGGCAACCTGGGGACTGTGGAAGAGTAAATCCCAGAGCAGCAAGCCACTCACTCAAACATCAGTCCTCCCCCTGTGAATTACCCACAGGTGCCTCTTAATCTCGGACCCACCCAGTTTCGCCCACTTCCTAGTCAGCTTCTGGACCAGCCTCCCTCTGGAGGATTGTGTGCGCGCAGGGAAAGCAAACCCATAATTAGCAAGGAAAAGCTGCTCCAAACGGAGACTAATGTTGCACACCAAAAGCCTTTCGAAGCAACCGTTTAGGGCAATCTGCGCCTCTTTACCGCAGTGATAGAATAGACACTATGGTTTCCTTGCTCAGATCTGCCAGTGAGCCAGATAAAAAGAAATTATCTATACCCAAGGGAAGTGTACTTTGTTGGTAACACATCTGTATATTCCCGCTCTGCTGGCCTCCCCTTGCACCAGATGTTCCAGTGTTTTTTTTTGCTTCTGGAAGAGGCAGGGATTGCCTGGAGCAATGCCTACTTGGGAGCTGATGGTTGTTTTCATTCTTTTTTGTTGGGAGATCTTGAGACGGGTCTTGCCATGTAGGCAACATAACTGAGAACTGTGGACATCTTCCCTAGTCCTCAGAGTGCTGGGAAAGCAGTGCCCTGTCTATGCTGGGGAGGGGGGGGTTTCTACCTACAACTCGGCCAGTGCAGAGGGGAGTCTTGGTCTTGGCCCAGCCAAGATGATCAAATATGGCACAAGGAAAAGGGACAAATGTCTTCTCAGACTTGATGAGGCACCAATCCTATTCTCGCAGGAAGTTCCTGACACCTGAAGATGAAGCCAGCATTTTTACCATGGACCACTTCCCGCTGTGGTATCGTCAGGCCTCTGAGCAGCCCCCAGGCAGCTTTGTCTTCAATCTCCGCTGGGAAGAGGGTCCAGGTAACCTAAACCTTTATGCTCTTCCCAAGAGTGGGAAATGGGGCCGGGGTGATACAGAAGAGAGGAAGACCCCAGGGCTCCTTCCCTGCCTTTCCTCATGACACTGCAGTTTGGGACATGCCTGGTGTTGCACACAGAATGTAGGACTATGTGTTCTCATTCCCATCCAGCACTCAAGCTCCAGCATGGAGCAAAGGAAAGAGATCTGACCCAGAAGCCAAACACGCTGACTCTTGGCCCACATTCCCCATGTGAGGTCAGCAGGGTTGATCTTGATCACCAAGAGGCTTCTGTTTCTAAGAACCAGAGCGGCTTCAAAGCTTCCAGAGCTGCCTAGATGAAAGTCCCAGGCTCCGCCTTAGGTCTTAACCATGTGGCTCTTCCCATCTCCACTCCCCTCAGGTTACCCAGAAAGCAACTCCTGGGACCTCAGGGAGGCAGCCAGGGCCAGCCAACAGACCCCCACAGACCCAGGCCAGTGGACAGGGAGGAGGTGGTACCAAGCTGAGGACTCCCACTCCCAGCCCTGGTCACTTTGAAGGACAGCAGGAAAGCACACCAGGACCTTCACTGAGTGTGAGGAAAATCAGACTACTGAGAACCCAGAAGGCCTAAGGCTCAGTGCAGCCTTACCCTCTTAGTTACCTTTGAGGAAATGGTGGCCCCGAGATGCTGAGGGGCTTGTCCAGGGCCCAGGAGTCTAAGAAGCAGCAAGTATCCACCAGTCCAGAGGGGCTGGGATTTAGACAGTACCCACTTGTGGAATGGGTGAATGAGGTGGGCAAGAGGCTGAGAGGGAAAGAGCACGCCTCTCAGAGACGGCAGCTCTCTCTGTCTGTCTCTCTCTGTCTCTGTCTGTGTGTGCGTGTGTGAATGTACATCTGTGTGTATGTATGTGCATGAATTGACGAGGGTGTGCAGGAAGTGGTGGCCTGCAGAAAAACACCACTGTGTGTGTGCATGCATGCACACATAGGGACAGAGGGACACACACACACACACACACGCACACACACACACACACCATGTAGAGCTGCGCTGGGGCTGTGAGCTTCAGGAAGCCAGACTTTCCAGGGTTCTCCCTCTAGGCTGAAGGCAGGAAGGGGGAATTCTGCTCTCCAAGCCAAAGCTTCCTTACTATCCCCTGAGCCTGTCACTGCACCCCATGCCATCCTCTCCACCCACACACCCGTGTCTAATGTGCTTTACAAACATGTCCCTGCTAAAACCCCATGACAGAAGTGCTGTTGATACTCTCTCCTGGGGAGAAGCGAGGGCTCAGAGACGTTCTGTCACTCTCATGCAAGTTGTTCAGCACAGGAGCTGTTTATACAGCAAGCTAGAGCCAAGCTAGGGCCGGGTCCGCCTCACTCAAGTCCAGGTTCTGTTGACACCCCAGATATAGGGCAGGAAGCAGAGAGTGAAAGGAGGTATTTTCGTGTTCTCATGCCCAGGACCCACAAGGGAGGTTCTTGAGGCCAAGCTGAAGGTCTTCCCATGTTGTACACCTGCAGCAGAGAGGCAGCTCCTCCCACCATGTGAAGGGTTCCCCTCAGGAAAGACACCCACGGACTCCATAGATGTTCCCTGGGTGAGACCCTAGGCCCCACCCAGCCAAGGTGACAGGCTTCCTCTTGCCTGTACTGTCACCAGGACTGCCTGCTGGCTGCTAGTGGAAGCTTTATGTGTCCACGAGGTAGGAGGGCAGGTGGGTGGGGAACTGAGCTGCCAGGAGAAGAGAGGGAAGCTGGCAACCCAAAAGGGGACTGCTGAGGAGGGAGGCAGGAGCTCGCTCCCTTCCTACGCCCTTGCACACTCGCTCAGCCCAAGCGCATGCTTAAAGCCACGTGGACACTTCTGGGCCTCCCATCCTCCCCAAGAGAAAGAAAATAATTTCATTTCAATAGGCATGGGGGTGCTGAGGAGGCAGAGGCAGAGAGGGGCGGCCTCCTGGCTGGCCTGGGGTCTGGTAGATGGAGTGCTGCCCCCTTGAGTTGTCCCTGTAGCTTGAGTCTATACCACCTGCCCGCACACTGGCACCGAGGGCCTGGGGCTGGGACTGCCGCATTCCTCTCTCCTCTTCCTGGCCTTGTGCACACGGGTTCTGGGTCATGTGACCGTTGACACAAACATTGAAATTCCCAAGGTCTCCAGAGATTAACTGAGTGATTCCCACAAGCCTGTGCTAGCTGGAAGGCAGACTACAGAGCTAAACCTACGGAGCCAAGGACTCCTTCAAGGGTCCTCATGTTCACGACTTATAGATATTTCCAGAAACAAAGTGAGGGGTCTGGTCTCCACTGCTACTCTGGTTCCTTTGGCTTTGCCTTGGTAAATTATTGGAATCAAGGACAGCTCAAGCGTCACGAGTCCAGTGTGGTTAGATTCTTGAGATGTGTTGAACATAGCAAGGTATCGGGGAACTATAAGAACACAGCCAGTGTGCGAGCATGCTTGGCCCCATTACAGAGGCTCCACTGCTTGGCAATCTCCATGAGGCTCTGAGAACTGGTTGTCGCAGGCAGTGTTCACCAAGGGGACATTTGACAGAACAGGACAGTACATGATCTTGGACCTTGTAATGGAGTCTGACCTATAGACAAGAGGCCTTTGGAAAGCTGGCCCAAGGACATGGATGGACAGAAGTCAGAATCATACAGCAGCCAGCCAGAAAGCTGCTCTCATGTAGAGCTGACACCACCCTCTTAATCTTGCTCCCAGGATGGCCTGGTTCTTCTAAAAGAAGTGAGAGGCAACCCAGGCCTCCAGGAAGCTGGCAGAAAGTTGTAGAAGGGCAGCAATGAAATGGAAAGTCATTATGGCGTTGAGTTGGGTGCCACCAACTAGGATCCCTCATAGATGTGCCAGATACCATCCTGGTTACTGGGGTGGCTCATCCACTGCATCTGGCTCCTGAGCAGGACCATCACTGTCACCTCTCTGTGACTCATAAAGGCAAGGCAGTGTCACTCACCACCCAGGCCTGGGCTGCTTACAGCCTGCCCCTCAATATGAGGTGCATGTTTGGCTCCCGTACAGGTAGATCTTATTGTCAACTTGACAGCATACAGGCTCCTGGAAAGACAGGGAACCCTAACTGAAGAATTGCCTCGGTCATATTGGCCTCGATCAGTGACACAATCTTGTCAATTGTAGAAGGGCCTAGGCCACGGTGGACAGTGCCATCCCCAGGCAGGTGGGTCTGAGTTGTGCAGGAAAGCAGGCTGAGCACAAACCAGGGAGTGCTCTAGAGAGCAAGCCAGTAGTCAGCATCACTCCATTCATTTCTGCTCCCTGCTCCTGCCTTGACTGCCTGCCCTGACGTCCCTCAGTGCCGGCCGGTGTGTGACCTGGAAGTGCAAGCTGGAATAAACCCTCTCCTCCCCAGGCTGCTTTTGGTCATGGTTGTTTGTCGCAGTCACAGGAAAACAAACTAGGATAGGACAGCGTGTGGGAAGACCGGCTGTGGCCGGGTCCTGCCGCAGCTACAGAGGAGCTAAGCAGGAGCAGCAGGCAGGCGGGTTTGCTGCCTGGAAATGGAGCAAAGTCATGGTGTCACCATGACGCTAGTGTCAATTGGCTCAGGCTGGCAGAGGCTAAGGACTGATCTGGCAAGTTCTGATTTGTTCAGATGCGGGGACAGCAAGGGACCTTCAGGACACAGTTGAAAGTCAGGTGGTGGACAGCGACAACCCATGACAGCACCAGGACCCTTCCACCACCCTGCCTGTTTTAGGGAGTGCTTATCCTGGAATTCCTATTTGCCTCCTATTCCAAGAAAGAGACTCACCCTCTACCCCCCACACCCTGCAGGCACAGAGAATAATGATAATTCTCATTTTCCCAGACAGCCCAGGCAAGCCAGTGGCGGTGAGGGCCAGTACTGCAATAGCTGTGACAGTGGATGGGAAGACGGCCATTGCAGCAGGTAGGCGCTACCTTGAACCGCTGTGGTGGGAGCTACAAGGCAATGTCAAGGCGAGGGCTGGCAGGGCGGGGCAGGCTCAGCTAGAGCACCTGTCTAGCTGGCCTGAGGCCATTTCCATCCCCAGCACCACACACACACAGGAAGAAAGAATAAGTTGCCCTGGATATAGGGATTCTAAATTTTCTCAGGAGAAAAGCCGGGGAAAGGAAGTGGATGCTTATGTCATTTTGTTTATAAAACCATAAAACCAAAAAGATTCGCGGAGTAAAATGAAGCTCAGAGAGGTTTAGAAACCTGCTCAAGGTCACACAGGGCAGGGACAAGCCAGGCTTCCATCCTATCCCTGGGACCCTGCTTTCCTAAGACATTACCTTGAGCCTAGACCTGGGCTCATGACTCTGCACTTTCTACCTAGAATTCGGGGTGACCAAGGGAGGCCATATCACAGACGAAGAAACTGAATGAGGCATGGAGCAGTTATTTGCCCAAAGTCCCACAGCTAGTAGTAAAGCTAGAACCTGGGCTCAGGCCACCTCTCTTTGGGACCCAGAGTCATTCCTGTCCTGAGTTTGCCTCCGCTTGCTTCTAGAAGGAAAGCACCCAGTGGCCCCCACAAGCTTGGCCTGACTTTGCAGTTTCTTGATGGCTACAACAGGCCTTAGCATCTGTCTTCCTCTTTGAACCTCTGTGATCATGCCCTCCACATTCCTCAAGAAGCTGTACAATCCATGGTCACTCAGCCTGGTGGAACTAGGGTACCAGGCACTTGTCTCATACCCCAGGAGCCTGGCCAGATAGGATCCTGGTCAATGGCAGGCAGAACCCTGACCTCTTCCCAAGGCTGTGAGCATCTAGGGGGAGGACCAGGAGGGGCAGGCCTGAGTTTCCTCAGGGAGCCTGTGCTACCCAGTCAGGGTTCCTGTGTATTCCCTGGGCTGAGGTAGGAGAAGGTGGCTCGGTGACATGTCCACTCCAGCATCCCTGGCAGTCTGTAAGGTACCTCCAACCCTGTAGATGGGATGTATTACATCCCAGCAGCCCTTCACAGCGCAATTCTTCCAGAGCCCATGGCATGCTAGGGCCCCAGATGTGAGGCCCTCTTATCTCCCTAAAATCCTCCCTAGATTTAGTCCCACAGACCCCTGACTACCTTGTTCTGCCTGGAGGTGGCCTTCTTGGCCCCGCTACCTTGAAGACCTGGGAAAGGAGAGAAGGGATGTGAGGCCAGGCTGCTGGCTGTGCTTCCCCACACTCCCCAATTATCTGATTTAATTTTTAACTCAGAGCTGAGTTAGAGCCAGGAGGGGTTGCCATAGAAACCATGTCCCAGTGCCTCTAGTTGAACTCCTTCAGACAGTCCCTGTGACGCTCAGGGTGCCTGGCTGTGACAGAAAAAGCATGAGGCGTTGGAGCCCTGACACCCTGCGTTCACCTGCATCTCATCCTGTATTTTTCTTTCCCTGGTCCCTGGCACAACCTCCCTGATCCTGGGACCAGCTGGGACCTTCAGCTCAAGGAGGGGTTGGTGGCGTGTCTGTTGGCCCTGGAAGCTGGGGCCTTGGGTGTTCTCCAGAATGGACTGCGTGGTGTGTCAGCAAGGGCTGTGTCAGAGACCTGTCCTGCTGTCTGGAGGGGCTTGGGTCACCTTAGGGGTCTGGAGACACAGGACTGTTACCCTCTGTGCATCTCCCTCTGTGACCCGTGCCTTGGGCTTTGGTGGTAATGTATGCTGTGCTGTCCTGCTTCTGCGGGGGGCTCAGAGGAGGTCAGATTTGGCTTTGCTACAGAGGGACTAGAGGAGGGTGACCCCCACCCCACCCCACCCCCTGTTCTGACCACGCCTAGGAAGAAAGTCTCCCTGGCTGCATGGCTTTGTGTACCCTGAGGGTTCACTTCTCTCTGACGTCCATTCCTGACTTAGTGAGTTGTCAGGCCAAGAAAGCTTCCAAGGTGAAGGTTCCATGTGCGTCTCTGAAGATAGAGTTCAGAACCACTGGGCTAGGGGCCAGTCCTGCCGTGGGGGTAACCGGGCCGCAGGGAGTCAACTTTTCCTCCAGGGCTGGACAGCAACCCCAGAGGCTTTCTCCCTTCTCCCCACACTGCGATAGCAGCTTTGCACCCCTAATTCTAGCCCCACTGGCTGACAGAGGCATAGTCATAAGCCTAGCTGTGGGGTGCTTGTGTAGACGGTCCCAAAAGGCCAAGGCGGCATTTGTGAAACTCCAGCAAGGCCCCACAGACCCCAGGTGAGGCTACTAAAACCGAGGTAACAGGACAGCCCTTAACTAATCGCCCCACCTCCTGGCAAGACAGGGGTCCTCGGGCAAACACAGGCCATCTTCTATGCAAATGCAAGCCTCCCGCCGCCACATGGGTCATCGTCTGCCCTTGACTGCCAGGACAGATGGGTCAAGAGTTGGATGGATGCCCTAACTGCAGAGAATAGCAAGGTGTGCTCACCTCACCTCTGCTCCACAAGCTTTGCTCTTCCCTGAGACTCACATTTGTTACTGCCAGGCTGAAGCATGGATAGGTTTAGAATCCCAGCTCAGCCCTGCCCAGAGCTTATCACCCTTGTCCTGAGCCAAGTCCTACCCAGGATGTCCTACCAAGTCCTACCTTCACATCCCTCCCAGCCCTGAGGTCCTGGGTACTGAACAGGGGACCCATCTGTCACCTAGAGCTCTCTCTGCATCAGGGTGACATTCCTCTAGAAATGGCTTGGCTGCCTGGCGAAGCAGGGAGACAGGGCACCATTCTCCCAATGCCCACATCCCCTCCCACCCAATGAAGCAAGGAAATACATAGGAAAATAGTCTTTATTGGTCTTCTGAAACAACAAACCAGAAATATAATTTTGCCTTTAAAAATCTTCTGTCTCAGGCTAAAGATATCACCACTGACAACAGCCTCCCTCCCCCAGGCCCTTAGCAAATCCCAGCTCTGGGATTGGCCCGCCAGCCAAAAGAGGAAGGAAGACTGTGGCCCGGCCTAGAGGACCCTGGGATCCTGAGTGGCAGTCTGTGCCCTCTGTCTGGCAGCCAGGGAACAACCTTGAAAGCTCTCCTGAGACTCCCAGTGCACACCCCTGCTAGGAGAGTGGGTGGGAGACGAAAAGGAGGAGGGCTGCCAGGCTGCCCCGATGCCCTCGCAGACCTTTCCTCGGTGCCTCAGTGTCTAGCGGGCCTCTTTCTGGCTACCACCAAGGCCCTTCTCAGGGCAGGGTATCAGCCTGGCATCTGCTACAGAGGGAGACCAGTCTCTAAGGAGGGGACAGTTGAGAACAGAAGCAGCAACCCTGAAAATGTGCACAGCCCAGGGGGCAAGTCTCCATCCCAGACAGGACTGCAGCCACGGGTTAGCTTGGACAGCCCAGCTGCATTTGCACGCTCCCAGGAAACCAGCCTATGAACCCCTGGGGAAGGAAGCCCCGTCGCTGAGGACTCTGAACAGAATGTAGCCATCCTGTTCCTGTTCCTGCAGTCTGTTGGGAATGTGTTGAAGGCAGCCAGCCTCATCGAGGACCCACTGCCTGACATCTGCTCTCCTTAAGGTGAACCACCAATTTCAGAGCATAGCCCAGACCCAGCCTTGAGGTCATGAACAAAAGATGCAGATGGCAGAGGAGGCAGGAGAAGCAGAGGAACGGAAGTGAGGCTGCAGGCTGCAGGAGTGGAAACTGCTGGGTGTGCCTGGGACCTGGCAGGGTGGAGCTTCCCAGGCATACCCAGGGGTCTGTAAGTGAGCTCCCAGAAGCCTGGAACCTGTCATGCATACACACACAGCTCCTGCATCTCTGGTAAACCTAGCAGGAGAGGTGCTGGGGTTGCCATGGCAATGGGCAATTCCTCCAGCAGCACGCTTTGGCCCACTTTAGAGGGTCTCAAAGGATCCCTGTGTTATTGTCCAGGACCTAACTAACCCCTGATGACATGGGAAGACTGTAGGCAGGAAGTAAGAGGGACTGTGACCTCCATGCTGAGGGAACAGCAGGCCTCGCCCCCAAGTTCTCATGGACTCTGTCTCCATCTGGCGTGTGTGTGTGTGTGTGTGTGTGTGTGTGTGTGTGTGTGTGTGTGTGTGTGATTTTGGTCTGTGGGACTCGTTTAGCGATGCCATGTGTGTGACAGTGAATTAGTGTGTAGAGTAAGACCCTGTCTCAAAACCCTACACTAAAACAAAAAACATAAAATTAGTAAACCTGGAGCAATGTAGTCAGAAGATAAAGATGTCTATAGCAGATAAAGGGGCCTAATGGTATCCACCCAAGGAAGACATTATAGTCACTTTGGTTTTTCTAAGCACTGGACCCAGATCACAGGGCTGGGGGGTGTTTGCACATAGGCACCAGCTGCTGAGAGCTGGACAAGCTTCACACTGCAAGGACCTAAGAATATCTTTCTGGCTTCAAAAAGAGTCACAGAAATCTACCTCTGGCTCCCCTGTCCCTCTCTCTCAGGCCCTAACACAGACTGAAGTGGGAATGAGCAAGAGGTAGGGAGGGTCACCAGCGCTGAGCTGGCCCTGGGCAGGAGGAAGTGCTCAATGCAGAACATGTTTCTGGTGTAGGTTCTTTCTCTCCTGTGGCCAGAAGCCTGCAAGGAGGCTCAGGTGTTCCAAAGACCAGGGGCCCAGAGAGGGCCTTCCACAGGAACCTTTGGCCAAGGGAAGCTTCTAGAAACTCAGAGACTGGAAGACTGCTCTACTGGAGGGCAGATGAGGGCCAGGGAGCTGAGGGAGACAGTACCAGTGTCAGGCTGAGGCAGGGCCTGTGCTGGAGGGAAGGGCAGCCCTTTGGTAGCAATCCCATGGAGTCTCCTTGCTGTCCTACCTGGGCCAGACAGACAGCTCTCATGCCACGGAAGAGATCTGTTTCTGATCTTCGTGCTCACCCTCGGGGTCCCCCATCAGCGGCTGGCGCTTCTTGAGCTCCCGGTGGTACTTGGCCATGAGGGAGGCATAGATGCAGCCGTAAGCAGCGGCCACCACCATCATGATGC